CTGAGTGCATATACACACATGCATAGACTCAGTAAATACATAAAGAAAATAAAAGTAATAAGACTATCATTTATACTTTGAAAATGAATCAGCTAATTAAAGTGCTGTCTTTAACCATGCGTATCATGACATAATACAAATGCTAATACATTCCTTAAGAGCTTGAATCTCAAAGTAAGATCTGCCCCGTGCTTTCTATGCATGCAGGACAACACATCCCAGAAACCAGTGCTTCAAGTCACTGTTTTTGGTCCACAATTTCATGGGTCATAAATTAGACACAATTCAATTTTCATGTTGGTTTCTCTTAAGTAGCATGATTGAGTCCTACTTTGTTAGCAATTAATTCATCTGTCCAGCCATAAGAAGTTCAGCTTCTTGAGAGACCAAACCGTCAGTATTAATCCAAGTAGGAAGAATGGTCAATTTGTGCCTGTGGGCATTCATGTGACAATGGTCATCTTCTGGCTTGGGTGGAACTGGACAAACTAAAGTCGTCTTGAAAATCTCACATTCGTGGTCACTGGTGCTGATGGTCAACGGGGTCATTTGCCTCTGACAGTGTGGTTCAAGTTTCTTCATAGGGTCACAGGCTTCCATAACTAGTAAAAAGGAACTGTCGCCAGGGCATATGCTTCTTGCAACACATTTGTTAATATTGGAAAGCCAAGCTACCTGGCCGAGCAAGTCAGAATGAGAATGCACCATGCAAAACATGGATAAAGGAAGCCAGGATTCAGTGGTCCCATTATTGCTACCATCTACCATCAGGTTCTATCAAATACAAGATACAAGAACCCTGGGATGTTCATCTTGTTAATGGGATCCCTTCTGAAGTCCATCCTTTGCTTGAGAAATCAAAGAATCCATCATTCCTAGGATACAATCCAAATGACTAATACCTTTCAGGAAAAAAAAAGAAAGAAAGAAAAGAAAAAAAAGAAAATTCTTGTCTGGAAAACAGAAGCGGTACAAAGAAAGAAAAAGTGTGTGTGTGTGTGTGTGTGTGTGTGTGTGTGTGTGTGTGTGTGTGTGTGCGTGCGGCATATGTGTGATGTAAATGGCCATATGGTCATCTGGGCATCTCTCCTAGAGGTAGAAGAAAGAAGTATCATGATGCTAAACTTAAACGCCATCACTTACCCTGTTCTTCCCATTATCTCACTATCCAGGCTGTTTCCCCTTGATGCAGCCGTTGAAACGGTTCAGTGAACCACAGATTTCTGTGATCATCATTATGTTTCTTCTCTGTTTCTACATCTTGGCTTTCTAAAGACTCTCTCTCTCTCTCTCTCTCTCTCTCTCTCTCTCTCTCTCTCTCTCCCTCAGCTCAGAGTTATTTCTCTCTTTGCCTCCTTGCATAATATCAGGGTCACAATATTCTTCTGTCCTCCTTTTACTATTTTATTTCACTATTACTCAAAATAGTTTTAAATAATTTTCTCAAATCTTAATTTAAGACATGATTTATCATTTAAAAGTCCTTTTTGCATTTTAAATATCATTTGGTCCACAACTGGATTCTTGTTGAAATAATAATGGCTTTTTAAATTGTAAGAGTTCTGAGTCATGGGCTAACTAAAAATATCTGTGTGTCTGAAAATCATGTGGGCTGCCTTTCTGTTGATTGACTTGGCTTGATTGAGTCCTGAGGGAAGCTGTGTCGCTTCAGTTCTGATCAAATTCACACTGCGGCTCACGAGCCCAGAAATTTCACTGTATCCACTGAAATGAAAGAGAGCTGAGAGCCAGTTCATTTCCTAAGGGGCCAAACTGACATTTCCTGCACACTACTGCCCCTAAATTCTGATCCTTAGCATGTTTTAAAACATTTTTCTCCTGCATGTATTTCTCAGTATCTTGTATACTTTCATTTCTCTAACCCAGAAGATTATGTGGCATGTGTTGAAATTTGAAAGCATGCTACACATGCCTGAAAATTAGAGAACTGAGGTTAAAATAAAGGACCTCAGAGAAAGCATGTTTCAATTAAAACGTCACCATTTTATTTCAGTATATGAAGTAAAGAATCAATCCATGAAATAGAGAGTGATAGATCATTTGGCACCTTCTTATAAAGACATGGCATTCAGAATATGTCCTAGTTTAGCAGGGAAAGCCAGTCGCATGCTGTGAAACGTGTATCTACAAGCGAGACACAGAGTCTGTCACTGCTGCCAAGGAAAGAGTGGTCCCAGGAAACTTTTACATGATAGCCTCAATAATTTAAAAGTGAACCAAGTTTGGAGCATTAAAAAAAAATGCTGTAGAAACAGGAAGCTATCTAACCAAGTGTAAAAGGGAAAGCATATTTATTACGTGCCTCAATAAAGTTGGTATGGAATAGAATATCGACTTCCATTAAGTATACAGAATTGTCACATATTTCTGTGGCCTGAAAATACTTCCTGGCCACTTAATTTTAGACGTCATCCCTGGGACAACACAGATTTTTAATCGAAAAGGCCAGGGACTGACTTGTGACACTGTGAACAGTGCTTGTAAGCAGCATTCACGTGCCACGTGGACACAGAGCCACAAGCCACGCCTACAGTGTGTTCACGTTCCCAAGGAAACAAAACAGAAAGAAGGCTCAGAAGAAATCAGGCAGGAAGCATACAGGTTGGTGAGAAATGGTGAGGAACGGACTAACAGGGAGTTCTGAGAGACGAGTTTTTACTTAAAATAAAAACAGAGCAGAAGAACATGCAGAAAAATAGCTGAGTGCTCTTGCTCGTTTTCTGAGGAAGAAGGCAGTTTGGCACGCTGAACTCTGTACTGTTTACTAAAGCAGGAGGTCCCTGCCTTAGTTCTTCTGACTTTGGTGCAACATTGCCCAGAATCAACAACTTTGGGTCTGAAGTCCAATTCACAGTCTCGGGCTACAGACTTTTCTCTGGGACTATTTAAACCCAACAGAAGACAAAAGCGGTGCTCATAACATTATTTCTGTGGTGTTTGTTTAGGTGTGTATATTTCATGTGTTGTTTATGTATGTGTATATTGTTCATGATGGAATTTTACTATTGAAACATCTTTAAAGCATAATTACTTCAGAATACGAGCATTACAATGTGGGGTGTCACAGCACGTAGAGAATTGTATAGCAGTAAAAAAACTGGAGAAAGAGATGGAGAAAGCTGCTTTCAAAGACTTCAGTTCATCAAAAGAAGACAAATGAAAGGCAAAGAAACACACTTGATACAAATAGAAAAAGTGGGAAGTAATAGGTGTAAATGTAACTACATCGATCATGGTTTTTTAAGTATCTAAATGACCCAATTGAAAAGCAAGGTGCATATATGTGCAACTTGTAAGAAACTCACTTTTTCAGGGAAACAGAAAGGAGAGGGTCTCTTGGAGACCAGGCTGACCTAAACTCAGTACACAGCTGAGGAAGAGCAGGAACTGATCCTTCTGCCTCCACCTCCCAAGTGCTGTGACTGGAGATGGCACTGAGAATCCAGCCCCAGGCTTCACGCATGCTACACCTCCAGCCAACCTACGAAGCTACATCAACAACTCAGACATCTGCGTTATGAGTGAATACACAAATGGTTGGAAGGTTGAAAGACAGAAAAGGTTATAAATACTAGAGTTGGAGAACACAGGGAAACCAGAATGATTATAACAATGACACCAAATAGATGATAGAGCAAATAATATCACCAGAAATAATAAAAACCATTTCCTAGGTATAATGAGGCAATTCATCAAAAGCACAAAAACTCTAAATATTTCTGCACTATTAACAAGGATATAAAAACATGGCATACGAAAACTGATAGAACACCAAGAACAAACAAATATAGAGTTACCCTCATAAATTGCAATACTCTCGATAATTGATGGCTTCATTTGAATTTAATTTATAAATGGCTTTACCTAAAATATACTATTCAAATTGTTGATACAATCATTTTTAAACAAGATTTTTGTGCTCGCAGCAAAATGATTTACAATTAAATAATTAATTTCAGAATTTTTCCCAATATCTCTAAAATTCGAAACTGCTAGGGACATATAACCCAGCCCCAAAGCAAAGGTCACAGCTATAGCGGTGTGGCCCCTGGGAATTTGCACCCAGTAAATGCTGCAGTCTTGATTTGCTCCAGCTGCAATGATAAGTCCACTTTGAAATGCTGTGTGGAGAAAACAGAAAAGGAACAGAATGGAGCAAGGACATCTGATTGTAAAAATGCTATTTCTAAGAGAACACAAGTGTTACATGTGTTTACATGTGTTGTATGCTCCTCCCAACACTTTCCTGGGAAGAATAAACCACTCTTCCAGATTTTTGATCTTGCCAATCATATTTAACCTACACCCTCAGAAATATTTTCCTTGGCTAGAGAGAAGGGTCAGCAGTTCAACGCCCATATTGCTCTTCCAGAAGACCAGAGTTCAATTCCCAGAGTCCTGTCAACAGGCTCAGTACCACCTGTAATTCCAGTACCATGGAATCTGACCTCTCTTCTGGACACGCCCAAGCTCCATACATAGATACACACACGTAACCAACATTCTGTTTTAAAATCTTATTTTATCCTATATTCTTTTTCATTGTCTCTAAATAGGACATTACTATAAATAGACAGATGCCCAGTGAATAAATGCATGTGAGAGACTACATTTTCACCACCATTCTGTCCAACAATAAAAGATCTCTCTCAACCTAAGAAAAAGCCCTAAGACTGAGTAATATTTTCCAGTGTATCAGTTACTGGTATTAATGTATTTCTCTGTGATGAAAAACAAGTGGCCAAGTGTGATTCTGAAGGACCTTTGCTGTGTCAAAACCTGGGTTGCAAAGTTTAATATTCACACAGATTCTTTTCTCACCTCCACTTCAGTAGGAAATGCAGTAGAAATTCTTAGAGATAACCATGCTGAAAAATGGCATACCTTGACCACTAAATCAGACTATCAATTTCAAAACAAAATACTACTGTCTTCAATGTTCATAGTCCTTTAAATATTGTTTATCTTGTGTCTCCCAGGTCTCCTGTTATGGCTGGAGGTCTCTTCGCAGTGGATCGAAAGTGGTTTTGGGAACTGGGTGGCTACGACCCAGGCTTAGAGATCTGGGGAGGCGAGCAATATGAAATCTCTTTTAAGGTAAGCCAGCCAGGCCGTCCTAACTCCATATTTACACAGTCTGAGAGAGTATGTCGCTTCCCTTTGCCATCTGTGTTGTTAGTTAGAGCTACTCCTCCCAGGGGAACTCATGGAAGAGAAGCGACTTCCTCCCAATGTTATAATAAGTCACAGCCAAGCTATGCGCAAAAAGAAACCATTCAACTCCTGTTTATAGGTGAGCAGCTCTTCCTACCTCTGCTGCTCCCCTGGCCAAGGCATTTGTCCCGGAGTGCTGGCAGTATAGCGGGCAGAAGAGTAAAGCTGAAGAAGGGACAGAGAAATCAAAGTTTTGCCTTTCATGTTCAAACAAGAGGGAGCAACTCAGATTTTGCTCTCAACCAGTTATTTCAAAATTCCAGGATCTGAAAACGAATTTAATTTTAAGATATCAATGACAAATTGGAGAGCAAGCTTTTATGTTTTGTTAAATTTTATTTTATTTTGAGACAGGGTCTTGAACATAGTCAGCCTGAAACTATATAACCTCAAAGCTACAGTAATCTGCCTGCCTCAGCCTCTAAAGCACTTAGGATTTCAGATGTGAGTAGGTGACCTACAAGCAAATCTTTCACTTATTTCATCTGGAATTTCCCATGTTTCTACTTGCCTTAGTGATTAGTTTTCAATAAAATTCTGTGCTTTATTGCATACATGTATACACATGCTATACATATACACGTATGTGTATTCATGATTCTGTTTCAAATGCATGGCTTATGAATGGCAAATGATGATATATGAAAAAGAGCTAAAGCAACAAAAACTGTGTGAGAATTCATGCTCCAAACTGCCTATATGTTTTTGAAAATCAGTCTTACAAAGAAAAGAAGAACGATCTTTTCTTCGTCTTAACCCTTGATTATGTAGAGGCAAAGGCTGACTCTCATGAAACTGCCGTATGGAGATCCGCAACCTAAGCCAGTCTTGGTGACTACTTCCATTACAAGGTCCTGTCAGTAGTTCACGACCCTAGAGAAGCTAAGGAACAAAGTGAACCCTAAGAAAAACATACATAGGTCCACCTGGGAAAAGAAAATAGACAGATCGCCTGACAAAATTGGGAGCATGGGGGTGGGGGGAGTAGGGAGGGCGGAAAGGGAAGATGAGGGGAGAAGTGGAAGGGGAGGAGAACCTGAGGGAGTGAACAGTTGAGATAGAAGAAGAACAGAGATGAAAAAACATAAATATATATAATAAAATATATATGAAATATATAAATATATATTAAAAAACAAAGTCTTTTTGTAAGGGCTCCTTACAAAAAGAAGTATACTCTGAATCTAATTAAAAACAAACATAAGAATCCAGCTACAATGTTTAGATTTATAAAGAGTGATTTTGATGAGACTAGAACACTATGTATTAATAGAACATTATGCTTTTCCACAAGGAATCACAGAAAAAATATTCTCAAAACAAACAGAGACATCATTGTAGGCTTTGGGACAGCTAGAATTTTCCCTCTCACCTTTAAATACCATTTACTAAATTGGTGTATTTTTACCTATTCAGACATATAATTTTGCCTCTAAGATTCTTGTTTGCACTGTTTCAAGCCTTTGGATTTGCCAGTATCTTTGGGCAGTCACTGTACAGCTCTGTTGTGGTAGAACAATTAGTGCAGAACTAATAATTCCACATCAGCATGGCTACATTTTCAGTGCAACAAGCCAGACGCTGAGCTGAAAATTTTGTATTATTAAAAAATAACCTTAAGAGGTTTTATATTATTCCACTGTCTAGATGAAGAAACTCACGTTTGCGGATTTTCTTCCATTAGCTTTCTTTAGGCTTTTTGTTTATTTATGATTGGGGGTTTTGGTTGTTTGCTTGTTTGTTTTGTTTTAGCTTTTATTGATTCTTTGTGGATTTCACATCACGCATTCCGATCCCATGCATCTCCCTCTCCCTCATATCTGCTCTCTGTCCTTGCAACCTCCCCCAAAACAAAACCAAATTTAAAAGAAAAACAAAAAACAAACCAAAAAAAGAAAAAGAAAAAAAGAGACTCTTGTCTCTTGCCACAGAAGCTGTAGTGTGGCCCGTTGAGTCACACCGCGTCCCTTTAGACCGTTCATCTCTACTTACAAGTGTCCATTGCCAGGAGTCATAGGTCTGGTTCCAGGCCAGCATCTGTTCCACCACTGACAATAGCTCTCACCGGCACTCATTTGGATATAAAGTTGTTGTCCTGTGTCATGGAGATCCTGCTGTTTGGGATATGTAGATTCGTCCCCTTCATATGCTCCAACAGTTCACAGATTTGGTGGATGTTGGGGTGGGCCAAATCATAGCCCTGGTTCTGGGTCTGGGTGGTAGCTGGGTTGGTCAGCCTGCCAGCTTTCCCTCCTTATCGCGACCCTGGTAAGCTCCCCAGCATTGCCTTGGCCAGCTCACCCAATGCAACCTGAAGCAAAAAAGCAGGGCCAGTTCTCCCACCATCAGGTCCTCAGATCCAAGTCACCCACACATCCCACCAGGGCCAGTTTTACTCTTTTGCCCAGGCAAGATGCAGAACCTGCTTTTCCTATCGAAGTATGGAACTATGGGAAGCCGGGTATCTCTTCTGCTCTCAAGCCCTCAGGGCTGGTTCACCTGCATCCCTGACAAAAGGGTCAGCTCTACTATGCTGACCAAGGCTGCAGGGCCTGCTCTCCTGTGTGCTGCAGCTGGTGAGGGGCAGGGCTAATTCTCTCAGTCTTGTGACCTCAGGGCCTGTTCTGCCTGATGGAGGTAGCAAGAGGCAGAGTGGGGAAGGTATCTATCCACTACATGGCAGATGAGGGGTTTCTTTATGTTTTAAAGATGAAATAGAGACTATGCTTTCAGGAATCTATGATTTGATAAAAATTAAATAATTATCCATTACCACTTAGGGATCAACAGGTCTTCTTCATCAATAAGACTTTCACAAAAAAACAAGAAAGAAAGAAAGAAAGAAAGAAAGAAAGAAAGAAAGAAAGAAAGAAAGAAAGAAAGAAGGAAAGAAAGAAGGAAGGAAGGAAGGAAGAAAGGAAGGAAGAAGAAAATGACAACACTTGTGGTGGTTTAAATGGGAATGGCTCCAATTTGAATTCTTGGTCCCCAGATGGTAGAACTAATTGGAAAGGATTGAGCAATCCAGCCTTGGGATTTTTGTTTGTTTGGTTGGTTGGTTGGTTGTTTGTTTGTTTGTTTGTTTGTTTGTTTGGTTGGTTGGTTGGTTGGTTGGTTGGTTGGTTTTGGTTGTTTTTTTGTTTTTGGTTTTGTTGTTATTGTTATTGTTCTTTTTGGTTTTTGTTTGTTTGGTTGGTTGGTTGCTTGCTTGCTTGCTTGCTTGCTTGGGTTTTTCTTTTCAATTTATTTATTTATTTTACATCCCTATCACAATTTCTCCCCCCTCCTCTCCTCCCATTCCTTCCTGCCCACCTCCCTTCCATCCCTCACCCACTCCTTCTTTGTTTCTGTTCAGAAAGGAGCAGGCCTCCCATGGATGTCAACAAAACATGGCATATCAGGTTGAGATAGGACTGACCTCCTCCCTTTGTATTAAAGCTGGACAAGGTACCCAGTATTAAGAGTAGGTTCCCAAAAGCCAGCCAAAACATTAGGGAAAAGACCTGCTCCCACTGCTAGGAATCCCACAAGTAGGGCAAACTACATATATGTCACATATATGTAGAGGGCCTAGGTATGTCCCATACAGGTTTCCTAGCTGTCGGCCCACACTTTGAAGGTTCCTATGAGCCCAAGTTAGTTGTTTCTGTGGGTTCTCTTATAATGTCCTTAACCACTGGCCCTGACTCACACAATCCTTCCTCCATTTCTTCAAAAGAATTCTCTACTCTCAGTGCAGTGCTTGGCTGTGGATCTCTGCATCTGTTTCCGTCAGTTACTAGATGAAGGTTCTCTGATGACAACTGGGGTAGTCACAATCTGATTACAGAAGAAGGCCAGTTCAGGCTATATAACCACTATTGCTAGTATTCTTAGCTGGGTCATCCTTGTAGATTCCTGGGAGTTTCCCTTGCACCAAATTTCTACCTGAACCCAAAATACCTCTCATACCTGTACATCTCTTTCAGTACCCTCCATCCACTCCACAGCCTGATCCTTCATGTTTCCATCCCTAGTCTACCCAGGAGATCTCTTCTATCTTCCCTTCCAAGGAAAATGCGTCCTCCTTGGGGCCTCTTTCTTACCTAACCTCTCTGGGGGCTGTGGGTCATTGGCCTTGCTGGAGAAGGTGTGTCAACTCACACCGTTCCCAGCTGGCTCTCTACCTTGTGCTTAGGGATTCAATGGAAGCTTTCAGTTACAGTTCCAGAGGCACCTCTGCCTGCCTGACATCGTGCTCCACACCGTGACTCTCTGAAACTGTGAACCCCAAATTAAATGCTTTCCTACGGAAGTTACCTTGCTCATGGTGTTTTGTCTCTGCAATAGAAAAGTAACAAAGATCATATCTGATCCTTATCCACCCGCATCCTTAACTTCACCGTCAGTGTTGTGGCCTAGGCGTTCTCCCTTAGGTGCAGATGATGACCCAGAAGGCTTATCAAAGAGCTGGATGCAGTGGTGTACATGGGCAATCACAGAACTCCTATGGTGAGATAGAAGGAGAAACCAAGAACACTACTTAGTCACTGCAGTCCAGCTGGCCTGCAGTAAATACATTAAAAAAAGCGTTTTAAGATAGAACACTATATCTGATCACCATATTTATAAAAACACTATATTGATCTACTTGTTATTTTTACCAGAACTGAAAGAATACATTTATTTTTCGTCGTTTAAGATGTTTTTCTGATACTCTCTTAAGAGTTGAATGCTTAAAGTTTAAAATGTTGAGAGAATTTCTAATAAGAGATGTCCTTGAGTGATGGGCTGGCTGACAAGCAAAATTGCTATTGAGAAACTGAAGACTCTGTGGATTACACCGTTGCGTTCCAAGTCACAAAGGGACCTTTTCAAGCAAGCATAAACTCTCATCTCATTTC